GTAGGACAATGGACGTGGTACATTCCCAGACGTTTCGCCGGCATCATCATTGAGTCTTGCCATTCTTAGCACCACACAACAACTCGTCAAAGAGACAACTGGAAAAATGTGTGCTTAGCAGTTGTGCTATCTCTCTTTCTGTCCTGGGCTATTAACCTCTCCTATATCCACTTATCACGCCTTCATTATCACAATTATTTACTTGCTTATTTAAATGCGTTTCAGTGTGCCCTTTTGAACAGCTCTTATGGGAACTCTCCACGAGGCGTATTTCCCACACTCTGTCTTTGCTAGACTAATTTAAGGTAAAAGACCATAAGTAATTGTCATGGTCAAGGCTTTGCTTCATGGACCACGCCTATAGTAAAAAAGACCTATTGCCACCAACTAGCTCTAGTCCCCACTGCGTCTATCCTGTTTCTATTCCTAACACCAAGTTTATGACTTAATATGCCCTAGTCTCTTGTGTGCCAACGCACAAATGTTGTGGTACCACTTGTTTTGATTAGGTTCAATGTTTAATCACAATATTCGTGGGTTGGCACACAAAAGACTGGGGCATATTAAGTAATGGACTTGGTATTTGGGAAAGAAACAGGATAGCTGAGGCGGAAACTAGAGCTAGTTGACTGTCAGTAGGCCTGTTTTAACATAAACGTAGTCCATGAAGCAAAGGCTTAACCATGAGAATTACTCGAGGTCTTTAGCCTCAAGTTATTCTAGCATTCGCAGAGTGTGAGAAATAGCGCCTCGTGGACCACAGATTGGGTGGCAGGGGTCGAGTGAAATACTTGAACAAGGGAGATAGGAGACGGATCTTACGGTGCAAGAGGAAGACTCTGATAGGGCAGACCTGCACAGCATTCCCAGCACAAGGGTGAAGAGAAGTGAGAACGCTAGCGTGAAGTGTGAAGGGTTCTCATGAAAGCCGCTCAAAAGAGTACACCAGATTACATTTAAATAAGCAAGGGAAAATTGTGATAGCGAAGGCGTGAATAGACTGGGGCAGAAGGGGAGATACCGCAACTGTTTAGCACACGTTTGGTCGAAGGATCTGCTTCATTTGTCTCTTTGACGAGTTGTTGTCTAGTGCCAAGAATGACAAGACTCACTGAAAATGCTGACTACGGTGCCGGCGAAATGTCTGGGAATGTGTCACGTCCACTGTCCGACTTTGGAAATGATTATGCATACGCTGGACTCCGGACTAGGTGCGTTCCTCTAAGTCTTCCTGCCAATATGACCAAGTTGAGAAAATAAGGTCAAACTACTTCTTATGGTTTTCGTTTGCAAGAGTGTAGAGTAAGGTTGAATTAGCCAACCAAATCATGGGATGCCGTGTTAAGATCGCGATGTTAGGTGTATAAAAAATGCAACTACTGTTGCAGCTAGCCATCTTTTCTCTTTTTTTATTATATTTTTGCTGTATTCCGTAAAGTATAGAATCTTGCTCTGGTGATGCCTGTCACAATACAGACGAAAGCTTAGCACAGTTTCATCGGGGTAGCAGTACGTTGAGCAGAGGACTTCTTCTCCCAATTCAACAGTCTTCCCTACGCATCAATTCTCCTTCGGTTTCCAGTGAGACCACATCACCCATTCCTTCCAACCAATTTTGACTTCTAAATTGAGAGTCATGAACATTATTTCACTAAGGAATTCTTCGGATTCTAGTTTTTCTTCATATCAGTTTTATCTTGCTTTCACATCTTGGTCGTAGCAAGAAGAAGACTTTGTTAAACCCACCTAATTCTGTGTCTGCTTACCTAGTATTTATGATGAATTCTAGCATCGAACTATTGACTTGGTACATTCCCAGACATTTCGCCGGCATCGTCATTGAGAGGTGCCATCGTCCGTATAGAGTTACAGCTTATTAAAGCGACAAGTGAAGGCAATCCTATTGACTAATTTTCCCTTCAACCGTGGTGGCCCCTACTTTTTTTAGGCTCTAGCGATGCTCTTTTCTTTCAACCCCACTTCATATGGCTCATTTAATTATTCACACTATTT